AAAAGAAACTCTTTATACTGTTGGTGGCAGTGTAAATTAGTACAGCTACTAAGGAAAACAACATGATTTCTATAGTAAACTAAAATAGAATTAACATTCGGTCCTGCTGTAGGGGTTTAATCAGGACAGTGGGGAAAATTATAAGCCACAAACCTTCTTGGAAGGCCTGAAGGTTTTTGCAGAAGTCTCAGGATAAGGCTATGACTGAAGGCAACCTAATCCATACCTTGAGTAAATAGCTTAAAGTGGGTACAAAGGAAGGTAGAGTAGTTTACCTAACTAGCTTGTTTACTCATGTGGTCCTAAGACTGACCTTTGATCTACTGAGGGTGCTTAATTGCTTTCTATTCAGGAAGTCCACAGTGTCATTTACCCTCTAGTGGTGTTTACTCACGACCTTTGTCAATTAATCTTTACTGAATAAATGCAAGTCTTGCTAACTGATAAAGGCCATGGCTGCGACTAAGTGGCCTGGACGTTAGGCTGAAGTAGCAAAGCAGAATATCTGTGTGTCAGTGTACTTTATTCATCTGTCGTTGGGTCAGGGTCTGCAAGACAGACTCCCTCATCCTGTAGTTTCACTAATGGTGTTTTATTCAAAGGAAAAGAAATCAGCGTATCAAAAGGATGCCTGCACCCTCATGTTTATTGTAGCACTACTCACAGTAGCAAAGATATGGAGTCAACCTAAGTGTCCATCAATGGATAAATGGATAAATAAAATGTATATATTTACCACGAAATACTATTTGGCCATAAGAAAGAATGAAATGCCATTTGCAGCAACATGAATGCAACTGCAGGTCATTATGTTAAGTAAAATAAGTCAGACACAGAAAGACAAATATCACATATACTCACTCATATGTAGGAGCTAAAAAAGTTGATCTCATGAAGTAGAGAGTGAATTAGAGATACTAGAGAATGTGAAGGGTGTGCAGGTTGGGGGAGGTATGAAGGGAGATTGTTTAATGAGTGCAAACATATAGTTAGAAGGAATAAGTTCTAATGTTCAATGGCAGAGTAGAGCGACTATATTTAACAACAATTTATTGTATATTTCAAAATTGTTGGAAGAGAACATGTATTAATATGTTCCCGATACATAGAAATGATAAATATTCAAGGTGAGGGACTCCATAAATACCCTGACTTTATCATTATACATTCTATGTATGTAACAAAGTATCACATGTTCCCCATAAATATGTGCAAATGTCATTCATCAATTTAAAAAAACTCAAAAATTTTGCTGTTGCATTTAAATAATATTTAAGTAGTTTTCTACCATGCCTATTTTATTAAGAATGCTAAATTAATAAAATACCTTTCAGTAATTACTGATATAAATATATTACCTTCTCTTTTAATTTACAGTAGTAAATTATTTCAATTTATTGTTTTTTGTTTTTTGGTTTTTTTATTTTTTTTGAGATGGAGTCTTGCTCTGTCGCCCAGGCTGGAGTGCAGTAGCACAATCTTGGCTCACTGCAAGCTCCGCTTCCCAGATTCATGCCATTCTCCTGCCTCAGCCTCCTGAGTAGCTGGGACTACAGGTGTCTGCCACCACACCCGGCTAATTTTTTGTATTCTTAGTAGAGACGGGGTTTCACTGTGTTAGCCAGGATGGTCTCAATCTCTTGACCTCATGATCCGCCCGCCTCGGCCTCCCAAAGTGCTGGGATTACAGGCATGAGCCACCGCACCTGGCCAACCTCAATTTCTTGATAGTCTATCACTTTCGAATTTTAGAATCAAAATCATTGCTAATTTTCAAATATACTTAAATATTGTATTCACCACAATGTTATTTAGAATTTTTGCATCTGTGGTGATAAATGACCCAAGTCAATAATTTCTTGTTTTTTTCTTCCTGTACTTACTATGATGGTCTAAGAGTAATGATGTATTTTAAAGTTGCAATGAAGCAATTACAAGAAATAAAATATTGGTATATATTTCTCTATAACTTGAAATGATTTCAATTAATAAAATGATCTGATCTTTAAATATGAACTACATTCAGATATGGATCTATCTGCTTATCTTCTGTATTTTAAAAAATCAACTTTAGCAAGATATTATTTACATACAATAATTGTACCTATTTAGTGTTCATTTTAACAGTGTGTGCACCCATGAAACTACCAACACAATAAAAATACAGAACATTTTTATCAACTCAAAAAGATTCCTTGTACCTCTTTGCTGGCCATCCCTGTCTCTGGCCCTAGCTTCAGGCAACTGCTAATCTGAATTTTGTTACTTCACTGTTAGTTTGTATTTCTAGAATTTTATATAAATACAACCATATAGTACATAACACTCTTTCATGTCTGGCATCTTTTACTCAAAATGACTGAAATTCATCCATGTTGTTACATTTATCATTAATCTGTTCCTTTTTATTGCTGAGTAGTTTTCTAGTTATGGATATACCACATTATGTCTATTCACTTGATGATAAACATGTAGGTTGTTTCCAGTTTGAGGCTATTGTGAATAAAGGTCTTGTCAACATTCATGTACAAGTCTTTGTTTGGACATAAGTTTTCATTTCACTTGGGTTCAATACTGGAGTAGAATGGTTGGGTTGTATGATAGTTATGTGTTTAACTTTTTAAAAATTTGCCAAAGTATTTTCCAAAGTCTTTGTGCCGTTTTACATCCCTACCTGCCACACATGAGTTCCAGTTGCTCAATATCTTCCCACACTTGGTCCTGTCAATCATTTTAATTTCAGTAATTTTAATGAGTGTGTAGAAGTATCTCATTATGGTTTTGATTTGTATTTCCCTGGTGGCTTATGTTGAAATCCTTTCTTGGCCTTATTGACCATTTCATATCTTATTTTATAAATTATCTCTGTTGAAGTATATTGTCATTTTTATTAAATTGTCCTTTTACAATTCGGTTATACATTTCTTTACATTTTCAGGAAACAAATCTTTTGTCAGAAATTTATTGCAACTGTTTCTTCCCCTTCTGAGTCTTTCCTTCTCGCCTTAAGTGCTTTCAAAGGACAAGAGTTTTTAATTTTGAAAATTACAAATTATGATTTCTGTCTTTTATAGTTCATTATTTACGCGTACTACCTTAAAAATCTTTTTTTTTTTTTTTGCCTGTCTCAGTCTTTAATCGTGGCTGGGCCTCACGTGCGCACACACACACACACACTCAGGCTTCAGATCTTGTTGAAAGCTGTGATATCGACACTTTGCATGTGTTCCTCAAACTTGGTGATCTCATCCTCCAGCAAGTCTGTCACCACCTTGTCCTCCACCACACACTGAATCTGTAGCTTCCAGATACCGTAGCCCACGGGCACCAGCTTGGAGGCCCCCCAGACCAGCCCGTCCAGCTGGATGGAGCGCACACAGGCCTCCAGCCATGTCCGTCTTATCATCCCAAGGCTTGACATCGAGCAGGATGGAGGACTTGGCCACCCGTGCAGGCTTCTTGGCCTTCCTCTCCACGTACTGCTGCAGCCGCTCCTCCCGCAGCTGTGCCGCCTTCTTGTCCCCCTCCTCATTGTCGCTGCCAAACATGTCAATGGCATCATCCTCGTCATCCCCTGCTGGTGTGGCTGGCTTCTTGGCCGGGGGCTCCACTTGGCGCATGGAAGACATGTGCTGGGTCTGTGGGGCCATGGCCCGGTGGCCAGGCGAGCTCTTCCCCAGTACGTTCAGCCGCGCCTCCAGCTTGGAGATGATCTGCTGCAGCTCCTGTACCACGCCGCGCAGGCTCTGGTTCTTCACTTTCAGACTGGAGATCCGGACGACGAGCTCGCTGTGGTCTGCGCAGGGGCCGCTGGAGGCCTCGGGGCCTGAGTTTCCGGCCAGGGATTTCGGGATGTTCTCTCTGGCTCTCGCAGTGTCACGGAGGATCACGCTGGCGCAGTTCTCCTGGCCGGAGGCACCGGCCACAGGCCCATTCATCTGCTGGTAGAATCTCCTTTCTGCATCGTCGTATTTGAACTTGTCCAGCCAGATCTTCTCATGTACTAGGAAGTTTGTAGCCAGTTTTCTGACGCCAGCCAAGGATGCGGCGGCCAGGGAGGAGGAATCGGCGGACGTGGGATGCCTGAGGAAAGGGCACTACCTTAAAAATATTTTCCTATAGTCCTGGTAAATTTTAAATGATGACTCTGAAAACGATATTTTTAACTTATTTTATGTTTTTTTATTTTATTAATTTTGATCAGTTGTATCTTACTAGGAAATCACCCATTTACTGTAGTATTCTCTTCTGATCCTACGAATTGATTCAATATCCATGTCTCCTTTCACTCATTACAAATCTTACATAATTTTGCTCTTATCTCTTTACCTTACTCGGGTTTATGTGAGGTATTCAGTTTACTAATGTTTTAAAATATTTTCATTTTAGTAGGAAAAGGATGGATTATTTTATAAATTTCATTGCCTGAGTAAGTTTAGGTATGGTTTTGGGTGCAATAAGAAAGACATAAAATAGAATGGTTTATGCCAAACATGTTTATTTTTATCACACAGCTTAAGTCTGTAGTTAAGTTGCTGCTACTTTTGAGTCAATAACATCAGGACCAGTGTTGGTGAATCTTTTGGCCTTTCCCGGGTAGTTGAAAGATCACCACTGCTGGCGGCATAATGTACAAGGCAGGAAGAGGGATGGAATTGATGGTAACAGCTAAGTCGGTCTCTTTTCTTAGGAAATAAAGGTTTTCCCAGAATACATCTACCAGTGTTTTGCTTCTCTTGGGCTGAGGCAGGTCATTTGGCCACTACCAGTTTCAGAAGGTGATGAGGTTACAGCACTATTCACAATAGCAAAGACATGGAATCAACCTAAATGCTCATCAATAGTAGACTGTATAAAGAAAATGTGGTACATATACATCATGGAATACTATGCAGCCATTAAACAGAATGAGATCATGTCCTTTGCAGGGATATGGATGGAGCTGACGGCCATTATCCTTAGCAAACTAATGCAGGAACAGAAAACCAAACATCACATATTCTCACTTATAACCAAACACCACATGTTCTCACTTATGAATAGGAGCTAAGTGATGAGAACACATGGACACACAACAGGGAAACAACACACACCAGGGCCTATTGGAGAGTGAAGAGTGGGAGGAAGGAGAGGATCAGGAAAAATAACTGATGGGTTGTGGGTGATGAAATAATCTGTACAACAAGCACCCATGATATGGGTTTACCTGTGTAACAAACCTGCACATGTACCACTGAACTTAAAAGTTAAATTAAAAAAAAAAAGATGAAGTAGACTGGGCGCGGTGGCTCACGCCTATAATCTCAGCACTTTGAGAGGCTGAGGCGGGTAGATCACAAGGTCAAGAGATCGAGACTATCCTGGCCAACATGGTGAAACCCCTTCGCTACTAAAAATACAAAAAATTAGCCGGGTGTGGTGGCGGGCACCTGTAGTCCCAGCTACTTGGGAGGCTGAGGCAGGAGAATCACTTGAACCCGGGAGGCGTAGGTTGCAGTGAGCCGAGATTGCACCACTGCACTCCAGCCTGGTGACATAGTGAGACTCTGTCTCACAAACAACAACAACAACAACAACAACAACAGATAAAGTAAGCCGTGAGAGAGGAGTTTGGGGATTGCATGCTGGTTCAGCAAAGCAACATTTTCCAAAAATTTCCCAAAAGATACACAAACTATCCAGAAGACCACTTTAAAATATTATATGTGAAGCTTAAGTCTTAAGATTAAAAATTCAGAAACTGTAAAAGAATACACATTTAAACATGTAGCAAATAAAATTATGTGAATGGGATAGTATCATATGCAAAGTCGAGACAAGGAATAGATGTTTTTTAAAAAAAGAGTTACTCCCTTTAACGTAAAAAGCTGTTTTAAGTTAATAAGATAAACAATCCAAAAAGAGAAATGTATAAACAAATGCTTTGTAAAGGCAATTTACAGAATAGTAAATTCAAATGGCCAAGACACATTTAGAGGCATATTAATATACAAATTATAATTAGTTATCACTTGGAACTTGTAAAATTTCTCAAGGTTAAAGAGTAACCATAGCTGGGCACAGTGGCTCACGCCTGTAATCCCAGCACTTTGGGAGGCCAAGGCAGGTGGATCATTTGAGGTCAGGAGTTTGAGACCATCCTGGCCAACATCCATCTCTACTAAAAATACAAAAATTAGCCGGAAGTGGTTGCAGGAGCTTGTAATCCCAGCCACTTGGGAAGCTGAGGCACGAGAATCGCTTGAACCTGGGAGGCAGAGGTTGCAGTGAGCCAAAATTGCACCTCTGCACTCCAGTCTGGCGATAAAGCAAGACTCAGTCTCAAAAAACAAAAAAAGAGTAATAGCTACTTTTAGTAGGGGGAAAGAGGTACATTTATACACTAGTACTGGAAACATAAAAAGCTAGTCTTGGGACAAAGAAATTTGGCAACATCTGTTAAAATAAAATAACACATACCATTTGATCAGTCCCACTCCTAGAAGCAGATGCTACAGAAAAAAATAATCTCCAGTAGGTAAGGGCATGACTGTCCTTGTCCAATAATCTCTCAAGTATAGTTATAAAAGATTATTTCTCCTAATGAAAAAATGTGAATAACTAATGGCAGTATGGTCAAAATATTATGGTACGTCCACACCATGGAGTCTTTTCAGCTAGCTAAAAATCGTTAAGTGTAAAAGGTGCAAAAATGAGTATACAATCCCTCTTATGTATGACAATGAAGTCACACACACTAATATATGACACAGATGACATATTAATGTGACTGTATGTGATTGTGAATATAGAGAAAAATATCAAGTTGATTAGCATTATCTGTTGACAGACTGTTGGAGTGCCTGGAAATGCTATGAATGGAAGTACAAAAATCAAGAAGACATAAAATACATTATAAAAGTTAGTTAGGTCAGGCATGGTGGCTCACGCCGGTAATCTCAGCACTTTGGGAGGCTAGGCAGGAAGACTGCTTGAGGCCAGGAGTTTGGGACTGACCTGGGAAACACAGCAAGACCTCATCTCTACAAAAACTAGAAAAATTAGCAGGTGTGGTGGCGTGTGGCTATACTCCCAGCTACTCAACAGGCTAAGGCAGGAGGATCACTTGAGCCTGGGGGTCGAGGCTGCAGTGAGCCAGGATTGTGCCACTGGACTCCCACCTGGGTGCCTGGGCAACAGATTGAAACAGTCTCTAAAGTAAATAAAGTCACATTTATGCCATGTTATATATATATATATATATACGTGTGTGTATGTAACTATTTTAATAAAAAGAAAGGCAAGTGTTTCATGGTCTGTTTTTCTCCACTGGTTTGAGACATGGGCTTAAAGTTAAATCAGTAAACAAAATGAATTATATTAATTATGAAATCTGCTTCTATAGGAAGACCTTTTCCAATGTATCAAATAGAGCTGCTTTTCTACTTGAATGTTATGGCATTTAATAAAATGATGTATTCTTACAAAACGTATTTTTGTCAATTACTTGTCTGGTATACAGTAAGGTGTGACTCATGGACAAAGATTTTTCCATATACAATATATAATGTACAATAATCACAGGGTTTCTCTGTAGTATGAGTAATTGAAAACTCGTTCTGACTTCTGTGAAAAGGCTTTCTCACTTCCAAGAAATACAGTTTCCCTCATGTGTAAATACTGAAGAATACTAAAAACTGATTTCTGGGTGAAGCTACTCCCACATTTGCTCTTAACGTTGTCTCCTTCTGGTAGAAACTTTCTGATAAATTGCAGGTGAAGTGTTTTCCAGTTAGTGTTCTTACAGGCTTTGTTCTCCAAATGGTGTTTTGAGTGTATGATGGGATTTGAATTATTATTTTTTTCTCATGTGTGAATTTAGTTATGTTCACGTCACTAACTTTTCGGTGTAAGACTTCCTAGTCATCATATTCATAAAGTTTCTCTCCAGCATTCATTTTCTGATATATAATGAAGTATGACTTGTAAAGAAAACCCTACCCACATTTAGTACAAACAGAAAATTATTATCCCCTATGAATTATCTGATGCATAAGTAAATGTTTGAGTGTATGTTTTCTTTTATTTTCTGAATACACAGTATGATTCTCTTTTAAAAAATTAATTTAAAATGCATTTTTGGCTAGGTGCAGTGGCTCACATCTGTAATCCCAGTACCTTGGGAGGCCAAGGTGGGAGGACTGCTTGAAACCAGGAGTTTGAGACCAGCCTGGGGAACAAAGCAAAGTGAGGCCTCATCTCTACCAAAAAAAAAAAAAAAAAAAGGGCCAGGCACGGTAGCTCACACCTGTAATCCTAGCACTTTGGGAGGCTGAGGCGGGTGGATCACCTGAGGTCAGGAGTTCGAGACCAGCCTGACCAACATGGTGAAACCCTGTCTCTACTAAAAATGCAAAAAAAAAAAATTAGCAAGGTGTAGTGGTGTATGCCTATAGTCCCAGCTACTTGGGAGGCTGAGGCAGGAGAATTGCCTGAACCCGGGAGGCAGAGGTTGCAGTGAGCCAAGGTTGCACCATCGCACTCCAGCCTGGTCAACAAGAACGGAAACTCTGTCTCAAGAAAAACAAAAAAAAAGCCAGGTGTGCTGACAAACGCCTGTGGCCCGAGCTACTTGGAAGGATAAGGCAGGAAGGTTGCTTGAGCCAAGGAGTTCAAGGCTGTGGTGAACTATGATCATACCACTGAACTCTACCTGGGGTGACAGCGTGAGACCCTGTCACTAAAAAAAATTAAAATTAATAAAACAGAATAAAATGCATTTTTATTAAAATATTCAAACTGTAAAACTGTCTTAAAATAGTTTGTTGTAAATACAAATGAACTATAATAGCGTGCTGGCATAAAAAGATAATGGCTGGCCGAGCCATGCCTGTTATCCCAGAACTTTGAGAGGATGAAGTGGGTGGATCACTTCATCCAACATGATGGCCAGCCTGGCCAACATGGCGAAACCCTGTCTCTCCTAAAAATACAAAAATTCGCTGGGCGTGGTGGTGCATGCCTGTAATCCCAGCTACTTGGGAGGCTGAGGCATGAGAATCGCTCGAACCTAGGAGGTGGAGGTTGCAGTGAGCCAAGATTGCGTGCCATTGCACTCCAGCCTGGGTGACAGAGCAAGACTCTGTCTCAAAAAAAAAAAAAAAAAAAGAAGAGATACGAACCTACAGTATTCTCCCTAGTAAAGTCTATATTCCACATGCCTCCAATCTATACTGACCTTTAAATTCTACTTAACATTTAGCTCTCCCAATTCGCTCAGTTTTCCACCATTTATTCCTCAATCGGTCCACAAGTGCCCCTTGAGATGCAAGAAATCCCATAGAAGAAAGTCCTTCTTTCTTCTACAGATTAATACTTTGTTGACAAAAGGTCAAGTAGCTCTTTTATAGTTTTTTCTTTTTCTTGGGAGTGTAATATTCTATTTTTTAAAATGTGCTTGAGAATAAAGGTTAAGAATCACTATCTCGGTAATCCTCCTAAGTTAATTTTTCAAACCCTGGGACTCTATACCAGTCTTCATTAACCCCATTTTCTATTAATTATACAAAGGAAAAACCATAGTATTAAAAAAAACATCTGAGAAGCTTTTAGTGAATCTCTTCCATTTGCTAAATTTGGCAGCTACCAAAATAAAATTTGAAACCACCAGAGGTAATTTTCTCTTATGTATCAAAGTTTGTAAAGGTTTTAACAAATGAGTGAATGCCTTAAGACTTTTAGCAACAAAAGATTGGAATAAAGTAATGCTGCACATCTAAGCATTTTCATTTACAAGTCAGTAATTTTGGAAAGTAAGAAAATATATTTTTGGTCTTGATACTTCTTAAATATAAACAGCTATCTCAACGAATTGAAAACATCTGCCAGTGGCAGAGTAAGTGGTACAGACTAGTACTTCCTTTGAGAACTAAAAAAGGTGGATGAAAATATTAAACACATTTAATTTTCTGAAGGCATAAAGAAAGCTACCACGGCAATGAGAAATTGCAGGAATAAAATTGGAGATAAGACATAATGTCTGAAATTTGGGACATAATGTCTGAAACTGTTTATTACCAAGAGGTATTTGCTAATTCTGAAGGCAAATACTGGGCAAGAGAGGCTGGAGAGAATTTTTGACAAATTCAAGTGACCGAAGAAGAAATACTAGAATTCAAGTCTTTCCAAAGAGGAGGGGCCTGACATACCTCCCAAACTCCTAAGTCCTAAAAGTATCCTAGAAATAAGGTTTATATGTTCACATTCTGAACATATAATAAGATGAGTCTTCCAGAGACTCAAGCCCAGTTTCAAATAATCTTAATATATGACTGGATAAAGGCAATCAGGGATTACTACTGATCCTAGCCTAAGAAGCTATGTTAGAAGCTATGGCAAATCCTCTCTGGAAGAAGATATTATCCAGACCATCTTATTACCTCTACAATTTTAATATATATTGTCTGGCAAGTGATATAAAAATCACCATATGAGGACACACGACATCAGCAAAACTCAAGAAAAATAACCATTAGACAACAGGCCGAGAGCGGGGAGGGACTGCATTGGGAGTTATACCTGATGTAAATGACGAGTTGATGGGTGCTGACGAGTTGATGGGTGCAGCACACCAACATGGCACAAGTATACATATGTCACAAACCTGCACGTTATGCACATATACCCTAGAACTTAAAGTATAATTATAATTATAATAATAATAAAAAAAAAAGAAAAGAAAACAGGCCAACAGGAGATCTAGGTAATAAGGCTATCCCTACAAGAAACAGAGAAAAAGAATGAGGCAGATGCATAATTTGAATAGATAATAGCTAGGAATTTCCCCAAATGCACGTGTGCGCGCACGCACACACACACACACCAAAACCACTAAGCCACAGATTTAAAAAATATTATAAACCCCAAGGAAGATAAATACACCTAGGCATATCAATGTGCAACTGTTAAAAAACAAAGGCAAATAGATAAATTTCAAAGGAGACAGAAAAGCAGATTGCCTGTAAAGGTAATTATATAAAGCTTACTTCTCAATAAAACGATAAAAGACAGACCAAAATAAAATATCATCAAAATACTAATAGAAAACAACTTTCAACTTAGAATTCTATATTCAGTAAAAGTATCCTTCAAAAATGAAGGCAAAATAAAACACTGCCAACAAACAAAGAACAATTTGTCACCAGCAAACTCACAGTAAAAGTAATACTAAAGGGTGTTCTTCAATAACAAGCAAAATAATTCTAGAGGAAAACTTAGAGGACAGGAAAAATAAAAAAGTAATTAAAATGATAAATATGTGGGTTAGTTTAAATGGCTATTGACTCAAATAATGATTGGCTATGTTCACCATATACAGAATCCAGATATACATCATCAATACCATATGAGAGACAAATAAATGAAATTAATGTTATAACTTCTCCCCGTGTCCAGAAATGTTGTTAGTACTAATTTACATTAGCTTTTAATCCGTATGTGTATTATATTAGTATCTGACATAGTACATTTAAGGCAAAAATGACTAGAGATAAAAAGAAACATCTAGTAATGATAATGTGTCAATTAACAAATAACAAGGTTATAACAAAGATTATAACAATTCTAAATTGTATGTAAAATCAAAGACAAAATATATAAAGCAAAAATTAGTAGCTCTAAAGGAGACAAATTCACAATTATTTGTAAAATCACAACACACTTCTTTTAGTATTTGATAGAAGAAAAGAAGTCTACTCAAATACAGAGAATTTGAAAAACAAAATTAAGATTAGTTTGTAGAGACTGTGAGGAGATAAAAGGAGAAGCCTTCCAAATGTTCAACTACATTTTATCTTCTAAGTAAATGGTAATCTAGCAAGTAACAAACATGTAGAGACTGTACTAACAAAATTAGTGGGAAAGATTTTAGGATTTGATATCCATTTTCTTAATTTGTCCTATTTTTCAAACAGGAGTTGGTAACAACAACATCAAAAAAGTGCACGTTTCTGTGGTCAAAGCTGAGGATCTAAAGTGCTGCTATCTAGATCTGGGTCCCTGTAGCTAAGTTCCATGATCTTAGTGCTAGTTCTAAGGTAATAAGTAGTTAGGGCGCTGTTGCTTACATCACTGGGGAAATAGACTTTTGAGAAATAGGCAAAGAGTAATTTCAGACCTCTTGGCTAACTTCTGCCCCAGCATGTGCCAACAGATGTAACAATATATAATGGTGACTTCCCAAAGAAAATTTTTAAAAAGTAGAGTCCTTCCTTTCTGTCTTTAGTGTTTTCACAAAAACTGCTGATTCATTTTCATTATAGACCTGAACTGCCCTCCTTTAGCCTTGATCTCAGTGTCCTTAGGCTGCTTAGACAACGTAAAATTATCTCATCACTCTACTCATTAATGAATTTTTTGGGGTCAATATTGAACAGTTTTGGTACCCAGAACATGAAAAACTCAACAGCCCTAAATTGATAAAACTGTTTGCTCAAAAAGTGAAACAAAAAAGACTGCAAATCATCTCCTTGCACATTTACTATTATTTGCAGGAGCTTGACAATACCAATATCAAATAACCAAAGATGGCCACTATACAATGCTTAAACACTCTCAAAAGTGTCTCCCCATATGCATAACTGCACATCGGCTGTATGATCCAGATGTTCATAATTCTAACTAGACAGAAGAAAGTTGGCCTTGGTCACCTCCTGAGTCCCCACACCATAATTGTGGCATTGAGCACTCTACTTCCCCAGTGTCAGATTTCTGAGGCATACTGAGTTGTGGCTTCCAGTTTAAGGCTTTCCTCAAGTCACTGCACTTATAGGGTTTCTGTTTAGTATGAATTTTCTGGTGTTTAATAAGATTTGATCTGATGGTGAAGGCCTTTCCACACTCAGCACATATATATGGTTTCTCTCCTGTGTGAATTCGATGATGCTCATGGAGTTGTGATTTCTTAATGAAAGACTTCCCACAGTCACTGCATTCATAGGGTTTCTCTCCAGTATGAATTCTCCTGTGTCTATTTAAGTGTGACTTCTGGATGAAGGATTTCCCACATTCAGTACAAATGTAGGGTTTCTCTCCGGTATGAATTCTCTGATGCATAATTAGTGTTGATTTTCTTGCAAAGGCTTTCCCACATTCACTGCACTCATAATGCCTTTCTCCAGTATGGGACTGCTGATGTATGTGGAGACCGGACTTCCGAGTGAAGGCTTTCCCACAGTCACTACATTTATAAGGTTTCTCTCCAGTGTGAATTTTCTGGTGTGTAAAAAGATTTGATCTGTCAGTAAAAGCCTTTCCACACTCAGCACATCTATAGGGTTTCTCTCCTGTGTGAATCTGCTGATGTACATGGAGTTGTGATTTCTTAGTGAAGGATTTCCCACAAATACTGCATTCATAGGGTTTCTCTCCAGTATGAATTCTCTCATGTGTAATAAAATGGGATTTGTGGAAGAAGGCCTTACCACATTCAGTGCAAACATATGGTTTTTCCCCTCTATGAATTCTCTGGTGCATACTTAGTGTTGACTTCTGAATGAAGGCTTTCCCACATTCACTGCATTCATAATGTCTCTCTCCAGTATGACACTTCTGATGTATCCTGAGCCGTGACTTCCAGGTGAATGATTTTCCACACTCGCTGCATTTGTAAGGTTTCTCTCCAGTATGAATTTTTTGGTGCTTAATGAGATTTGACCTGTCAGTAAAGGCCTTACCACATACAGTACATATATAGGGTCTTTCTCCTGTGTGGATTTTCTGGTGTATAATGAGATTTGTCTTGTGAGTGAAGACCTTCCCACATTCTGAACATATAAAGGGATTCTCTCCTGTGTGAATTCGCTGATGCACATGGAGTTGTGATTTTTTGATAAAGGATTTCCCACAGTCACTGCATTCATAGGGTTTTTCTCCAGTATGAATTCTTTCATGTGTGATAAAATGTGACTTCCGGATAAAGGCCTTCCCACATTCAGTACATACATAAGGCTTTTCTCCTGTATGGATTTTCTGATGCATACTTAGTGTTGATTTCCTTGTGAAAGCTTTTCCACATTCAGTACATTCAAAGTGTTTCTCTCTAGTATGAATTTTTTTATGTATATTAAGGTTTGAATTCTGAGAGAGGTTTTTCTCACATTCACTGTACTCATAGGGTTTTTCTCCAGAATGAATTCTCTGGCATCTGAACAGATCTGACTTCTGGATAAAGGCTCTTCCATAGTTACTGCATTTATAGTAATTCCCCTCAGGAGTTTTCTGATGGTTTGACTTGAGGGAAAAATCCTTCTCATATTCAGTGCATATTCCTGCATAAATCCTCCGACGGCCATCAAGCTGGGACTTCTGAGTGAAGACTGCCTCACGTTCATGGCATTCATGCTGCTTTTCTTCAGTACAAATGTTCTCATGTGCAAAGGCATGTGACTTCGGGGAGAAAACATTTACATAGTCAGAAAACAAATAGAGGCTCTCTCTAGTATGAATTTTCTGATGTTGAATGAGAGCTTGCTTATGATGCAGAGATTTCCTACACTGATTACATTCACAAGCCATCACTTCTGTATGAGAATTCATATAAGTGAAAATATCACCATCTCCAATAGTCTTATCAGAATTTTCTGTTGCATTGTTTCTATTACATAAGGTTACAATAGGCTCCAAATTCTTTCCAAATGAGTTACAGTTATGGAGTCTTTTTCTTGAGGAAACCAGGTGTGTGTTTACATGAACTATTTCCCCAATGTCCTTATATTCACAGACCCTGTCGTTAGCTAGTGTTTTCTTGTTAATGAAGGCAACATGACTTAAAGGTTTGTTCTGTTTTTCTCCACATTTTCTTGTGTGTTCATCATCTTTCCACAATTCTTCTAAAATGGAATATGGGTCATCTCTTTTGAAGAGATTAATATTAATCTCAGACCGGAAAGAAATTTCTTCAGACATTCTCTGTTGTAAAGGTCCAAAACCAATGTCCCCATCTAAAAAAGAAAGAAAAGATAAGACTGACAAAAAGAACAATGAACAGAAAATAAGGCCAGGTGCAGTGGCTCATGCCTGTAATCCCAGCACTTTGGGAGGCTGAGGTGGGCAGATCACTTGAGGCCAGGAGTTTGAGACCAGCCTGGCCAACATAGCAAAACTCTATCTCTGCTAAAAACACTAAAAATATTGTCTCCACTAAAAATTAGCCAGGCATGGTGGCACATGCCTGTAATTCCAGCTGCTCAAGTGGCTGAGGCAAGAGAATGGCTTGAAGGTAGAGGTTGCAGTGAGCTGAAATTGCACCACTGCACTCTACTCTGGGTGACAGAGCAAGACTCTGTCTCCAAAATAAATAAATAAATAAATAAAAATACAATAGACCTTTGATTCAGGCCGGGTGCAGTGGCTCACACCTGTAATCCCAGCACTTTGGGAGGCCAAAGCAGGCAGATCACCTGAGGTCGGGAGTTCGAGACCAGCCTGACCAACATGGAGAAACCCCATCTCTACTAAAAATACAAAATTAGCCAGGCATGATGGTGCATGCCTGTAATCCCAGCTACTTGGGAGGCCAAGGCAGGAGAATCACTTGAACCCAGGAGGCAGAGGTTGCGGTGAGCTGAGAGCTTGCCATTGCATTCCAGCCTGGGCAACAAGAGTGAAACTCCACCTCCAAAAAGAAACCAAAAAAAACCAAAAACGGTTGATTCAAGGCAAACATAGAGAAATGAGAGAGGTGATATAAATATAACAAATATACATAAGTATTTTAAATATATATAAATATATAGGTATAATAACTCATTTGTATATAATATGTAATACAATGATGTAGAGTAATAGCATTAATACATTACATTTATGACACGATAAACAATATCATTTAGATGTGCTGTTCTAAGTTCTATATTAATTCACTTAAACTTTATCACAGCCAGGTGCAGTGGTTCATGCCTGTAATCCCAGCACTGTAGAAGGCTAAAATGAAAGGATTGCTTGAGCGCAGGAGTTTGAGACCTGCCTAGGCAACATAGTGAGACCCCCATCTCTACAGGAAAAAAAAAAAAATAAGCTGGGCCTAGTGATACTTGCCTATAGTCCCAGCTACTCAGGAGGCTGAAGCAGGAGGATCACTTGAGCCCAGGTGTTTGAAGCTTTAGTGACCTCTGATTGCACCATTACACTCCAGCCTGGGTGACAGAGTGGGACCCTGTCTTTCTCTCTTTTTTTTCTTTTCTAAGACAGAGTCTCACTCTGTTGCTCAGGCTAGAGTGTAATGGCGTGATCGGAGCTCACTGCAACCTCCACCTCCTGAGTTCAAGGGATTCTCATGCCTCAGCCTCATGAGTGGCTGGAACTACAAGCAAGTGGCACCAGGCCTGGCTAATTTTTGTATTTTTAGTGGAGACAGGGATTCACCATGTTGGCCAGGCTGGTCTCGAACTTCTGACCTCAAGTATCTGTCCACCTCGGCCTCCCAAAGTGTTGGGATTACAGGCGTGAGCCAGCAGGCCAAGCCAAGACTCTGTCTCTTAAAAACAAAAACAAAAAGCACTTTATCGCAACCCTTTGCTGTTGGTATTATTATTGTTTCTAGTTTACAGATGAGGACACTGAGCCATAGAAGAGTTTAGTAATTTGCCCAAATCAAATGTTTAGTAACTGGGGAAGAAGAGATTCCAATTCAGTGCAAATGTAGTAGAACTACATGGTGAGTGAGGTGTCAGGAGAACGAAGTGACAAACTCTGTGAAAAGAATTATTTCTGAGTCTAGATTCTTATCCTTAATCCGTAAATCCTCACAGTCTTCCCGTTTTCTCTTTTCCCTATGATCCACTGTGTCCTAAATACCAATGTGTTTATGTTTATAGTAAAATTACAATATCTTAGTATTCCTAACTTGGCCAAACAGTAAAATTTATATACATTTGTTAGATTTATATAGCCTTTCTCATTTCTCTGTGTTTGCCTTGAATCAACTCTATGTAACAATTGGTCTATTTTCTTTTGAGATGGAGCCTCACTCTGTCACCCAGGCTGGAGTGGATGGAGTGCAATGGCACGATCTCGGCTCACTGCAACCTCCACCTCCTGGGTTCAAGCAATTCTCCTGCCTTAGCCACATGAGTAGCTGGGACTACAGGCATGTGCCACCATACATGTATTTGTCAAAATACAAATTTTTGTATTTTTGGTAGAGATGGGGTTTCACCATATTGGCCAGGGTGGTCTCAAACTCCTGACCTCAAGTGATCTGCCCGCCTCAGCCTCCCAAAGTGCTGAGTTTACAGGTATGAGCCACCGTGTCTGGCCTATAGTTGAATTCTTCATCCCTGGTTTGGGGTACTGATGTGATAAATGCATCTGGTAGAAGACATAACAGGAAAGAACCAGACATCAGAGGAGGAGACTGAAAGCTGTTCATCAAACCTGTGCCTTTCCTTCACAATATTAAGCTTGTAGCCAAGCACATGGCTGCCTCACAATACTAGGTTTGTCCAGCTTCATTTGTCACTAGGTGGGACTGAGTAACTCTTTTTCACTAATCAGTGGGAGTGATAAGGCCAATGTCTTAAGAAAGTGGGTTTGTCTCCCACAAACCTCTTCTTTTCCCACCAGTATATTCTCACTTGGCAGCACCCAGTTCTATGAAGCTGGCAATGCCCTAGTGCAGAGGTCGGAACAGTGAAGCCCTTGGGCCAAATCCAGGCCTCTACCCAAAAGCTAACAATGGCTTTTACATTTTTAAAAGGTCAAAAAATTAATCGAAAGAAGAATACTACTTCACAACGTGAAAATTATATGAAATTCAAATTTCAGTGTCCATAAAGTTTTTATTGGAACACAGCCATACCCATTCGTTGATGCATTGTCTATAGCTGCTTTGGGGCTACAACTGCAGAAATGAGTGGTTGTGACAGCAGCCATATGGTCCACAGAGCCTATTCACTTTTGTGCCTTTACAAATAATTGTCAGCCCTTGCCCTAGGGGATGGTGGTACAATGACTTTCTAGAAACTTCCCTCCTGAACGGCCATGGAAACAGAGTTGCCCAGTGTTATGGCCACAGAAAAGGGACTAACACACATCTTTCCATTAGTCACTGCAGTCTATTTTATCAATGAACCCAAACATACAGTCTTTTCGTTTTCTCCATTTAAGCTTCCTTTTTCTGATCCTTTGTTTCTATTCAAAATTCATTGTTCTTCATTAATCATTTGGGGTTCTCTGCTTTAAACGCTAATTTCAAATTTCACCACAACTCCAGAGAGGCTCTCTTTTAACTTAAAAATAAACAACAAAAAGATACTTTGAACCGCTCATATTTATATTTGAATTGGCATAGATGTGCATGTTAACAAATGTGTAATGCACAAAGATTGAAATTTTCAAGATTTCATGCAGTTACCCTCTCTTTCGAATTAGTTTTTCTAGCCCTTTGAATTGCTCCTAGAAGAAAAATTTTAAAGTCTTTCTGAAATAGAGCAAAACGACCTCCTCTTCTTATAACACAAATTCAGGAGTTTAATTTCACTATTTTGTACAGAAACTTTGCTTTTTAATGTACAAGGGTAAAATACTCAGTTATCACATAATTTAATGTAGGTTTCTCTGAATAGATCCAATTCGAGGAGTAAGTGAAAGCTGAGCACAAAATATGTGTATTATTATTATTATTATTGAGACGGAGTCTCGCTCTGTCACCCGGGCTGGAGTGCAATGGCCGGATCTCAGCTCACTGCAAGCTCCGCCTCCCGGGTTCACGCCATTCTCCTGCCTCAGCCTCCCAAGTAGCTGGGACTACAGGCGCCCGCCACCACGCCCGGCTAGTTTTTTGTATTTTTTAGTAGAGACGGGGTTTCACCGTGTTAGCCAGGATGGTCTCCAACTCCTGACCTTGTGATCCGCCTGCCTGGGCCTCCCAAAGTGCTGGGATTAGAGGCATGAGCCCCCACGCCAAGCCTTTTTTTGCTTTGTTTTTTGAGATGGAGTGTCGTTCTTGTCACCCAGGCTGGAGTGCAGTGGCGTCATCTCGGCTCACTGCAACCTCCACCTCCCGGGTTCAAGTGATTCTCCTGCCTCAGCCTCCTGAGTAGCTGGGATTATAGGCACCTGCCACCTTGCCTGGCTAATTTTCGCACTTTTAGTAGAGATGGGGTTTCGCCATGTTGGCCATATTGGTCTCAAACTCCTGACCTCAGGTGGTCCACCCACCTCGGCCTCCCAAAGTGCTGGGATTACAGGCATGAACCACTGTGCCCAGCCAAAATACGTGTATTATTTGAATACGCAGATAGATAACATAATAATCAAAGGGCTCAATGAAGAGGGAGAATGAAAGAATAGCATGGGGTAGAAATGGTTATGGAAAACAGGCACAAATGTGAATTGCAGATAGGAGGCCATATTCTTTCTCTAGCTTACAAACCTACTGAGAGGAGAATCTGTCACATGTTAGATATTAAGTAGTAACTTTAGTTTTGTTCCATGTAGCTATGACAGGATAAACACAGCACACAATGTTTTAAGTAGTGAAATCTATCAGCAGCATCTGAGATGAAATAGTGAAAAAGAAAAAATGGGATTATCACAAATAGGATTAGAATAATTGAGACATGAGAAAATATAGACATGGTTGTAGGTGATATGACTGGGAGGTAAGAAAGAGGCTTTTCTAAATGAGAAAAATAACTAGAAAAGCAGAATCAATTATCTGAGAGATGGATTAGAAGGAAAAGTAAAAAACTCCAAGATGATATTTTGAATTATCTGAGAAGATAGATTAGAGGGAAAAGTAAAAAACCCAAGAGAAGATGCCAACATTTTGAAAGGCAAGCCACCTGCTTTTGGCATGCTACATTGTATCTTGTCTTCCTTCACACAAACAGCCAGACCCTTATATGCAGACAGTATTGGTCTTTCCCCTGAGTGCTGTATACAACAGGGCCAACGCCTGACTGAGACACACAAATAACAGTTTTAGAGTAAAAGTTGTTCCCATGAGCCAGTTATCACTCAGAGCTTATGCTGCAGCTGAGACACATAATCTGAGACATAGATAGGTCTGGGCTGAGACACATGGCCCTGGGCAACTTTAAGGAGGACCCAAAGTCCTTACACCTGCCTCTAAATGTCCATGATAACTTCTAATGTAGGTTAGTTATGTATAGGACAGAGGCAAAGTGCATACTTGCCAGCAGGTAGTATAACCAGTTGGGAAGAGAAGAAAGACCCCTGTGGGGGTGATCATTGCCTTGACATCCTGCTCACTGCCCCAGCTGTAAATGACCTGCAAGGAGAAATGGACCCCATCTCAAACTTGGTTCAGATGTCAAGAGTGATGATGAGACACACACAATAAGAGGGTATAAAAAGACTCATTACTCACATAATGAGGCTTTCTGGGGACAGCTCCAAGCAGGTCCAGATGGGGCTAGAGTGAGCAAGGAAAGGACTGTCTTAGGGTTTATAGCAGGGGTGGTGGGGCTAGGCTAACGATTCTCTTATGTAGTTGGAATTTCCCAGCACCAATGGAGAGAATACATGGGCTTTTTTCTCAGTTTGTCCAGGTGTGGGGAGAAAAAAAGAGAGAGGGGTGAGGCTTAGAAAATGTCAGCAGTTGAGGCTGGGTGCGGTGGCTCACGCCTGTAATCCCAGCACTTTGGGAGGCCGAGGGGGGCGGATCACAAGGTCAGGAGATCGAGACCATCCTGGCTAACATGGTGAAACTCCGTCTCTACTAAAAATACAAAGAATTAGCCGGGCGTGGTGGCGGGCGCCTGTAGTCCCAGCTACTCGGGAGGCTGAGGCAGGAGAATGATATGAACCCGGGAGGCGGAGCTTGCAGTGAGCCGAGATTGCGCCACTGCACTCCAGCCTGGGGGTCAGAGTAAGACTCCATCTCAGAAAAAAAAAAAAAAAAAAAGGAAAAAAAAAGAAATTCTCATTTCCAATAAGAATAATTCATGAAGAAACATATTGCGGTACTGTTTGTAGTAGCTGAAAAACTGGACAAGTAAAATGTGGTATATATGTGCACTACAGAATGATATGTAGAAATTAGAAAAATGCATTGCAACATGGACCAATTTAAGAAAAAAAAACTGAGTAGGATATATAATATAGTACCTACCATTTCTACAAATTAACAATGCTAACAACTCAGATTTTACAAATATCCCACAAATTTAAGGATAAATGGCAAAACATGTCAAATATATTAGAACAGTTGCCTCTTGGAAGGATAAAAATGAGTATGGAGACTGAGGATTAAAAAGAATAAATAAAATAAGAGGAGAGCCTTAAACACACTGATGATGATATTGACTAAAAACTAAGGCTATAATTATTAACTCAATCTTCTGTACAGGATATATCTGTACATGAGATTAAAAAAACTTTTTGTAAGATATGAAAATAAATAAATTAGAAAGATCAGGTCGGTGTTGTGTTGCACTAGCCAAGTAGGAATAAAATGTCAATGGTACCCTCAAAATCAACAGTTAGAGAAGAGGCATGGGGGGACTTCAGATAAGCCCATCTCTAGATGACAATTCTGAGGTACTTAGGGGAAAGAGACAAAATGAGAAGAAACAGCAGGAACTGAAGTTGTAATGCACAGTAATTTTTTAAGAAGGTAGATCTATAAGTATTTGAATGCATAAGGAAATGATCTAAGATCCTGATGGAGGTAGAAAGAATAAAACTTTTCTAGGGAAAGAGAGAAAAAAGCAAGAAAGCAGGACCCTAGAAAGTAGGGTGTGACATGATCCAAATAACCAGTAATTGTAGCACATTCCCTCCTAAAAAGCCAAGCAAAGAAGAAGGCATTGATATGAGAAGGGATCTTAAGTGGGGTTAGCATTTAGATATCCAAGGGTCCTTGTCTAATAACTGCTCTATCCAAGCAGTTCTAAAAGTCATATTATGACACAGCAAAGTTGTGCAAAGTTGTGCACAGCCTCTCCCAGTACAAATACAGCTGAGTCATACTGTCTGCCATGCTCTTGGTTCCCTTCTCACCTGGATGGCTCTGACTGGAGATCTCACCATCCAACATACATGGCTCTTCTTGTTCCAAGCTGAAGATGACTTCTGGTTTGGGAACTTGACATCCTGTTAACAGGAGATGATAGAGGACTTGGTTTCAGAGGCCATACAATGAAGCATTCCATTTGTTTTCCAAAAAAGTTCACTGGGAACAGAGGAATATTCACACGACCCAAAAGAGATTATTAAGAACATGGGACAAAATAAGGACAAAACTATTACACACTTTAGATGTCCTGCAGTCTTTAGAAGTCCCACATACCTCAGAAAACACAGACTTCAGCAATTCTACTGAGAAAAAAATATATACTCAATTAGGTGCTGTCTACTGTGTACCCAGCAGAGCTGTGCTTACCCACTGAGATCAAGTTGAAATAGTTTTCCAGCATCACTTCTCTGTACAGGCTTTTCTGAGCAAGGTCTAATTGTTGCCACTCATCCCTACTGAAGTCTACAGTTACGTCCTTGAATGACACTGATTCCTGTGAAAAAAAAAAAAAAAACAAAAAAAACCCTTTCAATGTGAAGGATCAAGATTACAGAATGGAAACAAGACAGGACCTTATTTTTTATTTTTTTATTTTTAGAGCAGGTCTAGAATATCTTTTATTCTACATTTAGCTTAGTTTTACTATTTTTTTTTAATTATACTTTAAGTTCTAGGGTACATATGCACAACATGCAGGTTTGTTACACATGTATACATGTGCCACGTTGGTGTGCTGCACCCATTAACTCATCATTTACATTAGGTATATCTTCTAATGCTATCCCTCCCCACTTCCCCCACCCCACAAATGGCCCCGGTCTGTGATGTTCCCCTTCCTGTGTCCAAGTGATCTCATTGTTCAATTCCCACCTATGAGTGAGAACATGCGGTGTTTGGTTTTTTGTCCCTGTGACAGTTTGCTGAAAATGATGGTTTCAAGCTTCATCTATGTCCCTACAAAGGACATGAACTCATCCTTTTTTATGGCTGCAAAGTATTCCATAGTGTATGTGATATACAATATACTATAAAGAACCTCTACAACTCAACGACAATAAACAACATAATTTTAAAAATGGGTAAAAAGCTTAAATAGACATTTCTACAAGGAAGATATACACATAGTCAAAAAGCATATGAAAAGATGCTCAACATCATTAATCAGTAGGGAAATGCAAATTAAAACTACAAATACTACCTCACACCCATCAGGATGATAAAGAAAATGTCTAAAATTGATTATAATGATGGTTGTACAACTGAGTGAATATACTAAAAATCAATACATGGTACACTTTAAATGGTAAACTGTGTGGTGTATGAAGGGGAGGGCTCTTTTTTGGCACTGCCATTTCCAGATGGGATGCAGTAGCTTGGCAGTCCAGTGCTTCTTTCAAGAATGAACTGTAAATGCCAGATGCAATACTTGAAATCATCTGTTTCAAAGCACTGGAAAGCTGCTGAGGTAACAAGAAATACAGGGGCTAAGACTGGAGAGGAGAGAATACTGAAGATTGAAGCTGACTTATTCAGTCACTTGGACAGTGGGAGCATTTACCAATTCTGGGTGTGGACAAAAGCTGGATTCTCGTTTTGTCCTGTCTACTGGAGAATGCAGTGGAAGGCTGCAGCTGGTTAACACAGAAACTAACATAACTCAAACACATGGCCATTTTCCCCTCAGGATATTTACTGAATTCTAGGGTATATAGGGCAGAAGACTAAAACTGTAAGCAGACAGCCTTTGAAGAGCAAAGCAAAAGTCTAGTATCTGTTAAGAAAATAGTTGGGCATCTATCAGGAGGAGGGTCTTTAGAGGACAAAAGGACTCTCAGCTGAAAATTCTCAGTAGCCAAGGTTATCCAGAGGTAAACTGAGTCTTAGCAGAGCTTCAACCCAGCCTTGATTCAACACTGTCCCTGACTGGATGTACATGTTCTCCCTTCCCTCCTTTTGCTGACATAAGGAAAGACGAATCCTCTGTGGAGAAAGATAACACCATCCAGATCCTGTTCAACTTTTCTTCTTTTTTTTCTTCTTAGACAGGGTCTTGCTCTGTCATCCAGGCTGAAGTGCACTGGCACAAACACGGCTCGCTGCAGCCTCGACCTGGGCTCAAGCAATCCTCCTGTCTCAGCCCTGCAAGTATCTGGGACTACAAGCTTATGCGACCATGCCCAGCTAATTTCTCTATCTTTTGTAGAGATAGGTTTTGCCATGTTGCCCAGGCTGGTCTGGAACTCTTGAGCTCAAGTGATCCACCTGCTTCAGTCTCCCAGGTATGAGCCCTGCCTACAACTTTTTATACACGGTGTTTAAAACAAACAAGCAAACAAACAAAAAGATAGGACCACATATCCAAAATCAGAGAAGGAAAAAATTCAATAGAAACAGTCACACAGAGAACGGGAATTAGATGAAAAGATGACTATCTTTAGAGAATTGGTTTTTATAATAAAGAATCAAATGGAAATTCAAAAATTGAAAAATCTAATATCTAAAATTAAGAAGTTCTTATACAGGTTTAACAGCAAAATACAGAATTTCTGAAATGGAAGAGAAGTAAATAGAAAATATCCAAACTGAAGCAGAGATTTTTTTTTAAAGAAAAAAACCACAGGAGCATTAGGAATATTTGTGACATAGTAAAAAGGTATAACCTATCAGAGTCTGAGAAGTTAAAGAGGAGAGTGCAAGGAAGAAGTAATATTTGAAGAAAGTAATGGCTGTGAATAACATCAACCCTTAGGATTCAAGAAGCTCTTCAAATACCTCTTTACAAAACTGCAAATATTGACTATGCAAAACAATAACAGTACTATTCTCTGGGAGGTTTAAAATATATGCAGAATTTAAATTCATGGAAATAATAATGCAAAAGTGGGAGGCAGCAAATAGAATTAAAATGTTTTAGTATCCTAGCATTATTAAGGAGATAAAATAGTAAGTTCAAGATGGATGTTTTAATATCTAGGGTAACAAATAAATAGTAAAAGAATTATAACAAGTAAACAAAGGAAAAAATTAAAGAGTACAAAATTATGTAATATAAAAAGTCAAGAAAGCAATGAAAAAATAGGTAGTTCAAATCAAAAAGGCTGGGCGCGGTGGCTCACGCCTGTAATCTCAGTACTTTGGGAGGCTAAGGCAGGTGGATCACGAGGTCAGTAGATTGAGACCATCCTGGCTAACACGGTGAAACCCCGTCTCTACTAAAAATACAAAAAAATTAGCCGGGTGTGGTGGTGGGCGCCTGTAGTTCCAACTACTCGGGAGGCTGAGGCAGGAGAATGGTGTGAACCCGGGAGGCGGAGCTTGCAGTGAGCCAAGATTGCACCACTGCACTCCAGCCTGGGCAACAGAGTGAGACTCCATCTCAAATAAATAAATAAATGAATAAAAACTAAAAAATAAAAACTAATAGTAAGGTAGTATATATAAATTCAAGTACATTAGTAATTACATTAAGTGTAAATGCCTTAAACATTCAAGTTAAAAGCAAGGATTGAAACTTCTGGTTCTAAAAAAAAAACAAAACAAAACAAAAAAAGAGTGCATTCCACCCCATTCCTCCTGCTAATTACCTAAAATCTAGAAAAATACATAAAGCATCTATCAGAAGACTAACTGGTGGAGAAAAGAAAGTAGAACCTAAGGACTTAAAAAACAACATAGTAGTGAGTTCCCTAGGACTGCTTAGAGGGAGAGAGGGAGCTCCTACGTACTGCAAAATGAGCACTAGAGGAGCTTGCAGCCTGGAAGAACCAGTGAGCACAGACAAAAAAGGCCTCCCCAAAGCATACATTTTCCAGTCAAATAATCTGAAATAGGGCAGCACTACAGGATGGGCCCTTTTGACTACACATACCTGCAAAGTTCAGAAGTACCCAAGAACACCCTCACTTCTGACACCTACTGCAAGCAGGGGGATTTCCCAGGATCACCCGTACTTCTGACACCAGTTCCAAGTCAGGGGTCCCAGGACCACCCTCAGTTTCCATAATTCGCTGGAAGAACTCACAGAAATTAGAAAAGCCATTATACTCATGGCTATGGTGTTATACAGTGGCTTTACAATGAAAGGATACAGATCAAAATCAGCCAAGGAAAGATGTGCTTAACACAGGGTCAAAGAGAGTTCCAGGTGTGAGCTTCCAGTGGTTTTCTCCCAGTGGAGTCATATGGACAGCACTTACTTCTCCCAGCGATGATGTGTGATGATAATATGCATGGAGTATTGCCAACTGGGGAAGTTCACTTGAGTCTTGATGTCCAGAGTTTCTACTGAGACGTGATCATGTGGACATGAATGACTCCCATTGTGGCTGATCTTAGTCTCCAGCCCCTTTGGAGCTGATATTGCATGACCAAGGTACCCCACTATAAACCACATGTTGGCATAGAATATTCAGTGTGGCCCAGAGCTCCCACTGTAATCGCATTGTCATTATATACCATCTTGCATGGCCCAAGCAAGACCTGCAAGACATTCTAAAGATTTAGAGGTTACCTCCCAGGAGCTGAGTGCAAAAGCCAAACCTCTCTTTAGGCAAAGTTAATTCTTTACTGCACAACAGTATACTTGAGGTGAAAACTACAAAAGATGCATCCTTTGCCTTCTTCACCAAACAATGTGATTCCAAGATGGTGGGGTGGAGCTCTCTCAACCATCCCAACTGCATTAGCTCAAAGAGAGGTAGCACCCCTCTTGCCTCTCCAGCAGGCATTATATAGACTGTATTGGCTAACCCTACCCCAAATTAAGTGAATGACAGCAAAGAAATACCTACCTTCTCCTTCCAATAGAGAGTGGAGGATGGACTATGGAGAAAGTTATAAAAAGGAGTTCTTTAAAGATGTGTATGATGCCCTGGGCACACCTATGAGCAGCCCATGTATAAAATCAATCAGAATCAACATAGAAAAAGCTTTCAGGGCTGAACTAGGGTATGGGATACTGTCCAGGTTTCAAATTGCCTTCTGGGTTGCACAAAAATGAGGGAGACCAAAGTAGAACTGCAAAGACTTTCAAAACTTAAGTTGAATTTGAACTACAGCCCATAAAAATAGACCAAGACACGTACTCTAAACCTAAATGTGTTGACAACTGCTAAAATAGAGGATTTAAAGAGAAAACAGAATCTCATAACATGATATTTAGAATGTCCTAAATAAAGCCAAAATTATTCATCATCTTAAGAACCAAGAAAATCTCAACTCAAATGAGAAAAGAGCATCAACAGATAGCAACACTCAGATGAATCAGATGTTGGAATTATTTGTCAAGCATTTAAAGTAGCTAACTAAAAGTGTTGCAACAAGCAGCTGTAAATAGTCTTGAAACAAGTAGAAATATACAAATTCTCAGCAAAGAAATAAAAGGTATGAGGAAGAACAAAATGAAAATTTTAGAACCAAAAAATACAATAAATGAAATTAAAAACCTCACTGGATGATCTCAACAGCAGAATGGAGATCCAAAGAAAACAATCA